CACCGAATAGTGTTTTTTTATTATTAATACATATATATACATATATACATATATACATATATATATATTATATATATATACATATGCACGTTCTGCTCACGCGCCAGAGAGAGCATCTCACCGAGGCTCGAAGACTGTAAATCAAATCGCCGCCAGAGGCACAGATCTTGCAGTGGCAGGAGGCTGGTAGCCCAGCCGCTACCCTGGCCCAGCGAGCGTGGACGGGGACCCGAAGTCATCCCGCCAACGTCCACCAGGCAAGGGCAACGGAGGGGCAACCAACCACCAAGAGCCACAAAAGAGCACCCCCAAGAAGGGTGGCAAGAGGGTGGGGAGCAAAAGTGACGGACCACGGACACAGAATCAACTGAGTTTCAATTCATCTGATGACTGTGCAGACCACGGCGCTCACGCCAAACATAGATGGATTATCCCGCAAACTAAGGAACATCCATATTCACGTTCTGCTCACGCGCCAGAGAGAGCATCTCACCGAGGCTCGAAGATTGTAAATCAAATCACCGCCAGAGGCACAGATCTTGCAGTGGCAGGAGGCTGGTAGCCCAGCCGCTACCCTGGCCCAGCGAGCGTGGACGGGGACCCGAAGTCATCCCGCCAACGTCCACCAGGCAAGGGCAACGGAGGGGCAACCAACCACCAATAGCCACAAAAGAGCACCCACACCCGCACCAGAGTAGCGTTCTGGCCGAAGGCTTAAAAGGGAGAGCCTCCGGCACCGATGAGGTGCGATATCATCAGTGAAGCAATGGCCCGAGTAAGCTGGCGAGGATAAGGCTGAGCGCGGAGGGTCCAGAAGGTTCCTGTCGGGTCTTTGCCCCGAAGCTCGACGTGGGGCTTTCCAGTCCTGGAACACACACCGCGGCCAGTGCACGTTTTTCCCACGGCCGAAAGGTGAGAGCAAGACAGGAGGAGCAGACGAGTGGGCTTAACCCAACGCTCTCCATACTGACAGAAGTGAAGCACCGTGAATGTAGTGTCATGAGATAATCGAAAATCTAGCATTTGAGGCATGTCCCATAAAAAACTCGTGTTCGGGTTTTCCAACACCGCTGGGACGCCGTGAGCTGCTGCACATCGCATTAGCACCAATGAGACCCCTAAGAGACGGTTCCCGTTCTCGACCTTAGCGAGGTCGGCGGGAGAAAGCCCAGGCCGGCCCTCCAGGTGCCAGGGATCCCGAAGAGGCCCAGGGCCGCGACCGTCGTTTTTTCGGGCCCGAGAAAAGAAGCGCACGGCGTGCCCAACCAGAGGAAAAGACACCTACCCGAGGCGATGTGCGACAGCACACAGCGCAGCACGTCGTTGTCCAGCAGGTCGCCAGCGGGGCCGTGCTCGATGTCCCAGGTCAGCGCTGGGATGCCAAGCTCCGCGAAGGATTTGGCCAGCCGCCCGCTGCCCGAGAAGACCTCGATCACAAACCCGCCGCCGAGAGACCGCGGCAGGCTCCTGGCGGCCGAAGGGACGGCTGCCACGCGCCGCGAAGGACGAGCGAGAGGTTGGCCTCCGCCTCCTGGCACCAGCGGTTGGCCTCGGGCGTCAGAGCCTTGTGAAGCCTGTGCACCCCGCCCGCCTTCATGTAGCGGAGCGAGGTGCGATCGTTCGCCCGGCGTCCTCGCTGCTTGACCGCCTGAATCTCCCTCGTCTTCATCAGGAAATCCCTCGACGCTCCTCCGTGGCGCAGCTAATGCATTTCGAGGCTCAGCGAGCCCAGGCCCGCCGCGCGACAAGCCGCCTGAAAGCGGCGCAGCAGCTGTGTCTGGCTGAAACTGAAGAGCCAGACCTCTGCGCCCCCTCCGCGCAAGCCAGCAAGGAGGGCCCCTAAGTCGGGGAAGTCGGGGCTGTCGAGCGGGAGCGTGTCGTCGAACTGGCCGACCTTGGTCGGCTCCTCCCTCTCGAACGGCCGCAGGAGCAGACTCCAGCACGCGAGGGCCACGCCCGCGTTGGCCACCGGCTCGAGGAGGTCGCCTTCGACCACCGTCAGGAGCTCGGACGGGCGCAGGTAGCAGCAGAACATGAGGGCCAGCGCCAGCACCTCCTCGTGAAAGCCGTGGAGCGACAGGACGCCCAAGATGCCCGCCAAGAGGCGGAACGGTAGAGGGTCCCTGCTGCCCACAGGCCCCTTCCGATGCCAAGCTCGAACAACTCGTCGAAACCGAGGAAGGCTGGGCTTGCCGAACCGCTGCACGTCGTGGTCCTCCAGGGCGGCCAGGAGCTTGGTCCCCGCGTCGACCTGTTCGCCGCCCGGGAACTGCAGGTCGGCAAAGTCGCACAGCGCGTCGTCGCAAACTTTCAGGTTGGCCAAGGAGAGACCTTGGCTTCGCCCGAACTCCCAGAACTTGTCGAGCCGCCGACAGTAGTCCCTCCTGACGGGAGTCGACGGGTGAGAGCTCTCCAGCACTGTGCGCTCGCCCTTCAGAGCCCTCAGGGCTGGAACCACGCCCCCTATGGCACGAACCCGCTTCAACGCCCTCTGACGCTTCAGCGCCGGGCGTCGAGCCGACCGACGTGTCTTCTCGGCCAGCACCGTGTCCAGCGGGTCCGCCTCTCGGCGAGGTCGAGGGAGCGGCGCGCCAACCACTGGGCGGCGCCGAGGGCGCGGCCCAGTCAGGGCAGTCGGGCCCGCCGAAGGCACCAGGCGGCTCATGATGACCACGCCCGCCGTCGGCGAAGGCACTGTCGCCTGATTCGACGGCCCGCCAGCCCCCCTTGCCATCAGCCTGTGCCGTCCAGGCCCGAGACGTGGAGCGACGAAGCAACCGTCGGCCATCACTGTCAACTGGAAGCTCGAAGTAGCGTGAATCAGGATCACTCGGGTTCAGCTCCGACGGCACCCACCTGAAATGGTGCCTGGTGTTGGAGGCCACGCTCAGAGCCAAAAGGCGACGGCAAGCACCCAGAAGACCTCGATGTTTAGCCCGACCCTTCTCGAAAGCCAGGATGGCGGTCATGGAGTCCCCAAGGTGTAGATGAGTCTTACCGAAACTGGAGACCGCCCGTAACTTATGACGCACCGCCAGCAGACCCGCGCGAGCCTCCAGACAGAATATCGGCTCCTCGTCCTTCCAAAAACTCCGAACGACCTTGGTCCACGTGGGGCCCACGAGGTTCTCTTTCGGGACCTCTCTGAACGACTTGTCCAGCGACCAGAGCGACGACCTGTCACGACAAGGCTTGACGCTTTCGATGTCCCCCCAGTCCAGCGATAAGAAGTTGTTGTCCCTGGGCGCAACTCGATCGTACACATCCCACTTGAAACGCCATCTCTCCTCCCATTCGCATTCTGAACGAACCTGAGCCGAGTCCCAAGGCGCCGTGACGACCCCTGCCCCACACGTACTAGCGTCGAAACAGCTCACGTGCGGGTCGAAGTCCCTTCCCAGATCGGCGAACGCGAACGAGATAAGACGCCCAGCGGCCCAGCACTCCTTAGCCACCGAGGGCCAGGGACGCACTCGAGAGGTGTAACTCGAACGAATGAAGTCATAGGCATTGTTAAAGATGGACAAGAATAGCCGATTAGGACCGAAGTGGAAGGTGGTATGGCCCAGGAGTCTCTCAATCTCCTTACCCGACACATACGGAGCACCTGCCAACCAATCCAAAACCGCCTTCAACTTCCACCTCTTTTGCCTTTTTCCTTGGACCGTGCTATACAGGAAGTCGATCTCAAGGCCGAGCGTAAGAGCCCACTTGCTGGCAGACGTGCGCTCGTGAACCCTAAAGCCCACACTCTCGACCCCGTCGAAAACCTGGTTGGCGATCCTATCGGTCTGTGACTTACCTTGGCCGAAGATGCTAATGTTGTCTATGTAGACGTTGTAAGCGGGCCGATCGAGACCAGGAGGGGGCTTACATGATTCCAGGAAGCTGTCACCCTCGGAGCCCGAGAAACGATGCACCAGGGACGTTGTCGCAGACTGCGCAAAGTAACAGGCCCAAGACCACCCCATGGGAACGACCCTGGACTGTGGAAAGATGCTGTCACCTGGGAGAACAGGGAGACCTTCGACATTGTGAATACCAGCCTGAAGAAGTCGCAGACCTGACACGGGCGGCAGGGAAAAATATGGACTAAGGCCTGGTGGAAGCCCGCAGCAATGAAAATAATCCTTCACGTCGCCGAGGGCCACGTACGGGTCCCCGTCGCCGCGCGAGTGCAGTAGCCGAGCAACATCAGCCGGCCCTCCCAGCCGAACGTTTGGGCTCTCACGCATTTTGCGATTACTCGGACGGCAGTCAAGTATCAATCTCAAAGTGCCAGCCTTTTTCCTCACAAAGAAGGGGGTGACGATGACATGGGACGTGCGGCCGAAGCGAAACAAACCCGACCTGTGACCCCTCATCACGAAGTCGAAGTAAGCGTCAGCGTCGGACTTAAGCACTGGATCCATATACGGTCTAACATGCTCCTCACACTCAGTAATATGGCCCCAATCGTCGGGACCGTGCAAGATCTCCTCTTCGAAGTTAACGAGACATTCTCTGGCCCTGCCCTCCAGCACCGTGGACAGGTCGACGGGCTCCGCCCCAAGCTGGGGCATGGAGAGCAGATCCTTGTCGTAACTCGCGATGGGAAGTTCAGGACCACCAGCGTAATCCTGTCCTGCGCCGAGCAACTCCACGCGGGCTGCCTCGGCATTAACGATCTCCGGGACGTCAGTCCGATGTACGTCCAGAAGGTGCTGAAGAGCCGTAGCCTGCGACAGGGTCGGACTCGAAAAACTTGGAGGCTGGCGCCCACCGTGCAACCAATTAAGCGCCTTGACGGAGTCCACGGCGCGGCTCAGAACTGCCTTCCTGCGGTCGAAGCGCTGCTGCAGCCTCCTGCAGCGATGCCTCGGCCAGGACGGCGAAGACCATCAAGGCGGTATAGGAAGAGGTAGAAGCTCACGAGGAGCAGCACGGTTGTCGGACATCGTCAGAGATCGACGAGCGACAAAAGCACCCGCGGGGGTGCCCAAGGGGTCGAGCTCGACCCTCTAGTTCTTGGTGCCCTTGTCCTTGTCCTTCGAGGGCTGACCTTTTCCCCCGAGCCTGGACTCATCGACTGCCTTCCTCTTCTCCTTCAAGATCGCTGCCTTATCCTTCAGCCTGTTAGCGGTGTAGCTCATGAGTGACTCAGGAGTGCTCCCCGTGCCCCTCGTCTCAGCCCAGCCCATCATGATGTCGGCTGCGCTGTAGTCCGGGTTGCTGGGCGACGAGGCGTGCGCCTCCTCCAGCACGCTCTTGCGCCTCACCAAGAGCTCGGCCCCTACCAGGTTCGGCAGGTTACACTGATCGATGCACTGCAACGCATTCAGCACCTCACAGATCAGCTTGTACTCGTGCACCGACCTGTCCCCAGGAGGAATGCGAGCCGCGACGGGCCACTCACGAGCCTGGGTCTGCCAGGTCAGCCCCTGAGACCTCAAAGTCTGTGCGGTGCCCAACGTGATGCGAGGACCCTTCGGGAAGCCATCGAGGTCAGGCTCCTCGAACAACTCCAACACTCTGTCGTTGAAGGTACGACTGCGAACGCCATGCTCGAAACGGGGCTTCATAATGCGACAATCACTCACCTCCGACGCGTAGAGATCTTGTCATCCCTGAAGCTGCCAACCTTGTGCGTCGGCACCCACTCCACGAAGACGGCCACGGTGTTGCCCGACGGCAGCGTGCAGGTCGACACCGCCTTCACGCTCGCGAACGGGCCCGTGGGAGCAACAGGCGCCTCATCCCCGATCTTCATGTTGCCGCACGGCTCCGCCAGGAGCCACTTCCCCGCGCCTGGGACACCGATCGCACCCGCCTGGACCTGCGGCGCCGCGACAGCCTGGCCCCAGCCCAACAGCTGAGTTTGCACCTCTGCGTTGCCGAGCGCTGCCTGCAGGACCGCCTGAGTCGGGGCAGCCCGAAAGGCGTACACCGGCAGGTGGGGCGGCGCTGGAGGGCGACCCGCATCATCCAGGAAGGTGACCCCCACGATGTCGGGATCGTTACGGTAGTCCTCCTCGTACTCGTCCTGATCAGGCGTCGCAATCCAGGCTGAGCCGCCGTTGGGGTGTGCCTTAATCACCAAACGTTCGTGTAAGAACGCCTCCCCCTCGAACTCGACCAGCAGGCATCGCCAACTGCACAGCCCCGCACTTGTCGGCTGTGGCCACCCGTCCAGGCGCATCTGCAACTGGGGCACCGCAGGAGGAGCTGGCCCCTGTCCTGGCGGGGGCGCCGCGGGCGGCCCCATCAGAGGAGGCAGTCCTCCGACGTGCGCCATCGCAGCACCAAGCACAGACGGCCACCGAGGTACAGCAGGCGCTCTGTAGAACGCAGAAGAGGTTGATCCACGAGAAGGGCTCGGATGGGAGACGGCTGTGGAAATGGTTCTCGATGTACGTCTGATTGACAGATCCGTTTCCCGAGAGGCGCGAGAGGGAGTCACACGTGCAGTTACAAACACCAGTGTTATTAACCTCCACATCCACATGAACGGGCTGCATCGCTTGTAGCCAGGTCTGCTTCTCTGATCCCAACATGAACCCCCACAACGTAGCGACAGCCACATGGCAAGATTTTGGGAGGCCCATAGACTGACAAGAAAAACAGCTTGAGCAAAAAAGACGGACTACGGACACAGAATCAATTGAGTTTCAATTCATCTGATGACTGTGCAAACCACGGCGCTCACGCCAAACATAGATGGATTATCCCGCAAGCTAAGGAACATATATATATAATAAAAATAAACTCAGGGGGGGGGAGTACGGCCTGTCTGGGATGGTACGATTTTAATATTTAGGAGGAACGAGTGTGCAGAAAATATATGAAATATGTTATCCCAGGGGGGACCGATAAGCCCGGGGGGGGGTAGAGTCTATTCTTTTATTAGAAAGGAGAATCCATTTCTGTTCGCAGTGAGTTGTCCACTCCACTGCTCGCGCAAACATCCCACCCACCCACCCGCAACTTGTTTTGCAAAATCTCTTAAGACCGTGACGGTGGGTACCACATGGCACTTGGCAACAACAGCGACGCCGACGACGACAGCGACAACGACGATGACGACGCCGCCGACAACGACTACGACGACACCGACGACGTCTCCAGCGACTTCGACGACGCCGACAACGACACCGACGACGACGACACCGACGACGACGACGACGACACCGACGCCGACGACGACGATGACAACGACGACGACGATGACGACGCCGACGACAACGACGACGACGACGACGACGACCGCGTCAACGACGCCGACGACGACGACGACGACGGCGGCGACGACGACGACGACGCCGACGTCGACGACGACGAACACGGCAACGACGCCGACGCCGACGACGACGAAGACGACGACGACGTCGCCAACGAAGACAACGAGGAAGGTGGGAGGACGACGACGGCGACAACGACGACAACGACGAGGAGGAGGGAGGACGGCGACGACGCGAACGACGAAGAAGGAGGAAGGACGGCCACGCCGACGACGGCAACGACGAGGGAGGAGGGAAGACGACGACGACGACGACGACGACAACGACGACGACGACGACGACGGCGACGAAATAGGAGGGACGACGACGAGACGCCGACGACGGACGACGACGACGACGTGGGAGGAGGAGGAAGGACGACCACGGCGACAACGACGACGGAAACGACCACGACGCCAAACAGGACGACGACGACGAACACGAGGAAAGACAGAGGACGACGTAGGCGACGAAGACGACGACGACGCGGGAGGAGGGAGGACGGCGACGACGACGACGACGACGCAAGAGCGCGCGCGCGCACGCTTTTGTTGAAAATCCGCGTTGCGAAACCTTAGATTTTTGTAGGTTTTTTGGACGCACGATTTTGACATCCTTCCGAAACCGATGGGTTTTGAAGGTTTTCGGCGTACGCCCGCGACGACGCGCGCGTCTGCACTTTGTGTTATTTTTTGCAGAGGATTCTCGCGACGGCACACGCGTAAGGGCGTTCGACAGATTTCGACGCGCGCGCGCGAAGCCTGTTTGGTAGCCTGTTGCGAAAATCTTGAAAAACCTATGGTTTTCTTAAGATTTCGCAAGAGCTCGCGCGGAAGCTTTTATTGCAAATCCGTGTTGCGAAACCCTGTGTTTTTGTTTTTTTTTTGGGGGGAAACTCGATTGCGAAATCTTTCCGGCACCGAGGGTTCTGAAGGATTTCGGCATGCGCGCGACACGACGCGCGCGTGTGCATTTCGTCCCATTTGTTGCCAGGGATTCGCGAAAAAGTGCTATGTTAGAACAAAAATGTCACCGCATAGTGTTTTTTCACAAGGGAACCTCAGGGGGGGGAAACCGGCCTGCCTGGGATGGTATGATATCATATGTAGGATGGACGAGTGTGCAGAATCATATATGATTTACATACCCGAAAGGGGAACCGATAAGTCGGGGGGGGGGGGTAGAGTCTATTTTATTAGAAAGGAGAATGTATGTGTTGCAACGCACGTGTTGCAATTTACGCGGCGCACATGGATTGCACAACACATTTCGCGCCACATAGACAGCACCGCGATGAGTGTACACCATATTTGATTCACATCGAGACGCTGCAGATACTGCACATCGCAGGTTTGCACCACCTACATCGCACCACAGAAAGGGCACAACATAAGCTGCGCACCGCAACGACTGTAACAGAAATGGCGGCACATAGAGTGCACAACATCGATGGCACCACATTGATTGCACAACGTAGTTTGCACAAGTCGTATTGCACAGGTTGCCCATGTAGAGTGCACAACATCGATTGCTAGAAACACAATTTGCGGGGACCGCGCTGGGCTTAAAGCCTCCGCAGATCCTTGGATATCTGGAGGCCTGGTATTCGGGCGCCGCCGCCGTTGTCGTTCTCGACGCCGTGCGCCAACCGATATCCGCCGTCGCCGCCGGAGGATGAAATTGAGAATGCCACGAACAGGATGATGAGGAAATTGCAGGGGGCGGAGGAACAGGACAAAGGCGACGGCGACAGTGGTAAGGAAGGGCAATGCAGCGGGAGGAAGTCGTGGGTGAGGGGGAAATGTCCAGCTGTGCAGTACCAGAACCCGAGTGGAAGCGACGAGACGCGAACGAGCACCTGTCACCTGGGTGCCATTAGAAGATGCTGACCGCGTTCTCTCTGAAGGGCTTTGCCCCCCCCCCCCCCTCCCCCCCCCAGTGGGACCGAATCGACCAGGACCATGATTTTGTCAGAAGTCGATTGGCTTGTGGGTGTCAATGCCCAGTGGAGTGGGGAGGACCCAACACCGGGCATGTGTTACCCTCCTGGGAACGGTGGCTGTCAGCCTCCACCGTGAGATTGGGAGGAGGTACGGAGTATCGTCCACGACAAATCGTGGATCGATTTCCAACTCCGCATTGCGAGGGTCCGCGCGTGTAGGCACAACCGGACTAAGTAGAGGAGGATCAGGAGGATGAGGGGGAGGATGATCAGGAGGAGGAATCCTGAAGAACATTAGGAGAGGGAGGGAAAAGCATGAGGAGGATAATGAGCGGTCAGGAGCAGGACGAAGACGCTTCGTTCTCTGTCCTCTGGGTCTGCCCCCGTTGATGATGATGATGATGATGATGATGATGATGATGATGATGATGATGATGATGATGATGATGATGATGATGATGATGATGGTGCTGATGGTGCTGATGGTGCTGATGTTGATGATGATGATGATGATGATGACGATGAGGAGGAGGAGGAGGCAGAGAACGAGGAGTAGGAGGGAGAGGACGTGGAGGTCGAGACGCTGAAAGATGCTGAAGCCAAAGATCTCTCAAGCTCTGATTACACAGTTCTCGGTCAAACTTGGTAGCCAGCGTGAGCCCTAAACAGCGTGTGTCTCAAAAGCAATGCTACGCAACATATTCGACGCGGCCGCGGTGGCGCTGACCGCTCGAGACTTCCCAGCGCGTTTCGCAGGCCGCGCTGGCGCGCGGGCGCTTCAGTGCGAGTCGGTGCCTCGGGCGGTCGCGGTATCACGTCGACATCGACACAAGCAGCCACAATGATGATAGTAGTGATGTTGGTGCTGATGGTGACGATGCCGACCGCAAGGCCAATGACGGCGGCGCCGATGCTGATCACGTCGATGACGATGATGGTGTCCACGTCTTGTTGATGAAAGGGTTGATGCGGACGCGGCCGATGGGCGCGAATGGTCTGCAGGTTTTTATTTGGCCGGGATCGTGCCCCTCCCCGCACCACAGTAAACGGAAAGGTTGTCGAATGATTTCGGCGCGCGCGCGAGAGGCCCCTCTGGCCGAATTTGATGAGCATGTTGACAAACCAGTGGTTGTCGGTAAGATTCGCACGACCGTGCGCGCTGATTCTTTGCCAAAGAAGACACGCTGCAACACAACATGTTTTGTATGTTTTCGGGGCCGTCGATCCTGACGTCTTTGTAGTCGGTGGGCTTTGAAGGATGCCAGCATGATCGCGCGACGACACGCGTGTGTGGTTCTTGCTTTCGTTGTGCTGTAAGAGTGCTTCAAATCAGTGTTTGACGAGGACGAAGGACGGAACGATATTGGTTTGGCCAGGATGAGGTGACAGTATATGTAGGAAGAACGATGGGACAAAACCATCTGTATAATGACATCCTTCGGGTCTTCCTCCTCCCTTTTTTTTTCTCTTTTTCTTCGGGCCGGGCAGAATAAGTACAGCTTCGGGAACTCGGTTGGTCCAAATGTTGTTTTGGGAAGGAGAGAGCACGTTGCGCACCCCGCGTTGTGCAGCACATGTAGTGCAACGTATGCGGTGCACTTAAGGTGGCGCAATATACGTGGTACGGCGTATGTGTTGCGCAGCATGTGTGGTGTAGCTGACGTGGTGCAATCTATGTTGTGCACTATTGTGCAATCTGTGTGGTGCAACATGTCTGGTGCCATCTCCGTGTTGCAGCCTATGTTGCGCAAGTTCATGTTGCGCAGTCCATGTGCGTTGCACACATTGCACCACATACGTTTCAACATTTAGATTTCACCACGTAATTTTTTCACCGTGCGCACTGTACCACATACGTTCTTCCACTTAGTAAGAGAAAAGACTCCTGCCCCCCTCGTGTGGACCGACCCCTGTTCATTCGCATTGCAATTTACATATGATCTTGCTCCATCGCCCATCCAAAACATGAATCCGTGCCAT